CGGGAGAATCTGTTCAGATGCCAGGAATCTGTGTGTGTATTTGGGGGGGGGGGAACCCCTGTGCAAAAAAGCCTCTCTTGGGGGAAACATTTATCACCCCTAAGAACTGGGGACGTAGCAGCTCGGGACAAGATCGAAAGCAAGGGGGGGGGTGTCCCTCCTAAAAGGAGCTGCTCCCTTCCTCCTCCTGCCCCCCCCCCCCCAAAGCTGATCACGTGGTGTGGAGCCTGTCTCTCCGCAGTGGCCGCTTAGCTGAATCATGCTTGGGGTTGGCAAGAGCCGAGGGGAGGCTCCATGCTGGCCGGAGGGGCTGCCTGATTCCTGCGTTCCAGCAAAGTGGGTGCAAACTTCCTGCCTCCTTCGGCCAGCTCCCTCCTCCTCCTCCTCCTCCTCCTCCCTTCCTCTTTGGCTCCTCGGCAGCAGCAGCAGCACGCAAGATCGGCAGCACGTGGTAGCGGCAGCAGTGGCAGCAGTCGCCGGGCCTCCCCGGTTGCCCCCAACTGCCGCCGCCACCACCACCGATTACGGGCCTTACTGACCCAGACAGGTTGGCAGTGGGAGAGGAGGAGACTCCCGGTTGCTCTCTCGCAGGGAGTTGGGTGGGCTAAGGATCAGTCTTTTTTGGGGGGTGTTACTCCTTGGCATGGCAGGTGAGGGGTGTGTGGAAGAAGGAGCCAGCAGCAGCTGTGTCGGCAGCCACCACCTCATGCCGTCTGGGGCTTTGTCTTAACGCTGGGCTGCCTCCCCCGGGAAGAGAAGCGGGTTTTTCCAGCTCTGGTGTGTGTTAGGGAGGGCTGGCCTTCCCCCCCCCCGGCCCCTCTTTTTTTGCGTACCCCTCTTGAGAGCAGAAGCCCACTCCGGAGGGCAAGCGGATCCTGGAGGTCTGCCTTGGGAGGAAGAGCGGGTCAGGGAATAGGCCTGGGGTTCAATTCTTCCTTTCCGGAAGGGCAGCTCTGCTTTTATTCACCCCCCAAAAGATCGGGGAGATTGGGTTTGGGGTGCTGAGGGAATTGGGGGGGGGGGCTTCTACCATCGGTGTGATAGATTTAGGCCTTTAAAGATTGTTTGCTCCACGAAGGAATTTCCCGATTTGCATGTTGGCAAGGTGGATTTTTCTTTTTTTCTTTTTTGGGGAATGAGTGAAATGAGCTCTTTGGGGTGTAAAGTCTTGGTTTTTTTTTGCTAAACCTAAGTCAGAAGTTTCTTTTTTAAAAAAACAAACTCCAAAAAATGAGCTTTTTCTCAAATCTGGTTGGCTTCCTCCTCTTCCTCCTCCTCCCCCCCAAAATCTGGCAGTACCAGTTTTTAAAACCGCCCCTTTTGGAAGACTATTTTGACTGAAGTTGCTCCTTTGGATTCATTCTGGGCCTCGAGACGTATGTGATCCCCGGGCCTTGGAAGCTGTAAGGAACAGGAGATCCCAAAATAGAGCAGGGAGGATCTATGCCAGCAGAAGGTGTGGTCTAAGTCGCCTTGGCTAAATCTTGGGCTCAGGTCGGCACGAGAAGCAAACTCCTGCAGGCTTATTGCTGTGTGAATGGACCAACTTGCAGGCCAAAGAAAGTTAGTAGACAAACGTCAAGGGAGAGATTTTCATGTCACCCTGGTGGTAGTCGCCTCCAAGGTGCTTTTTTCAAAAGGCAGCTGCACTACAGGTAGTCCCCAGCCTTACAATAAGGTACATTTAGTGACTGGTCAAAAGTTTTAAGAACAGCACCGGAAAAACTTGTGACTTACCACCGTTTTTCACACTTAACGACCGTTGTGGCATCCCTGTAATCAGAATTCAAGCCGCTTGGCGCAACTGACTAGTGTCTTGGGGTCGGTCATGTGATTCCCCTTTTGTGACCTTCCGAGAGGCAAAATCAATGCCGGATTCACTTAACGACCGTGTGACTAAACTTAACCACAGTGGCAAGAAAGGTCATAAAATTGGGGTAAAACCTAACAATGTTTCACTTAACAGAAATGTTGTGCTTGAGGATTACCTGTACATATGTGTATATGGATCTATAAAAATTGGGAGGAAGGTCATAAAACGGGGCAAAAATCACTTAAATGCCTCGCTTTTAACAACAGAAATTTGGGTCTCCATTGTCGTAAGTCGGGGACTACCTGTGTGGCTTTTTTAGTGGATTTTTTTTTTTTTTTAAATGCAGTCGTAATGAGATGGCTTGGAGGGGGAACCGCTGGGGAAGTCCTGAAAATGATCGGTAGCGCTGGGAAAAAGAAAGTTTTTAGGAGAAGACATTAGTTTTTGGGCGCTGGTTTTGCGCGACTAAAAACATGTCAAATTAATTTAGCGGTTTGTCTTGGCCTCTTCCTTTGCATGGGTTAAGAACGAGAGGCGGTGCTAAAAAATTTACCTCGACTCAGATTTGGGCTCTTGTTTTGTCTCTCACTTCCATAGTTCCCATTCTAAAAGCACGCTAGGACATCTGCTTAAGACAGAGCCCCCAAACTTGGCCACTTTAAGACCGGTGGACTTCAAATCCCAGAATAGCTGGCAGGGGAATTCTGGGAGTTGAAGTCCACAAGTCCTAAAGTGGCCAAGTTTGGGGACTCTGTCTTAAGGTGACATGCTCTCCCTGCCCATTACCCCAAATAGCCCAGCATCAGCTATTTCAGAGGTAACAGATCAACAGAATTGGAAGGGACCTTCCAGGTCATCTAGTCCAACCCCTCCCCGCCGAGACCCTACACCAATTTCTGACAAATGGCAGTCCAGTCTCTTCTTCTTGAAAGCCTCCCACAACTTCTGAAGGCAACTTCCGTTCCTTAGAACAGAGGTGTCCCAACTTTTGGCCACTGTTAAGTCCTGTGGACTTCAACTCCCAGAATTCCCCCAAGCCATCAGTTCTGGGGAGTTGAGGCCCACAAGACTTAAAAGTGGCCAAGGTTGGACACCCCTGTCTCAGAAGATAGCGGGGGCTTGTATGCTTTGGATTGAAAGGGTCGTGAACCAAATATGGCCGAGCTAGGAAGTCGGTTGGCTGGAACGTGGCGGGTCTCGTGTTTTGGGCGGTGCTTAAATTTGGAAAATTCGTGAGGGATTTTCAATGGCACGAAGCCTTTTTAAAAGACGTGGAGGTAGAACATAGAATGATAGGACTGGAAGGAACTTCGGAGGTCCTCTAGTCCAGCCCAGGCCAAGGCAGGAGACCCCATTCTGGACAAACAGCTGTCTCGTCTTTTTCTTGAAAACTTCCATGGATTGGAGCCCCCACAATGTCTGGTGGCAAGCAGTTCCACTGATTTAATTGCTAGGAAATTCCTCCTGAATTCCAGGTTGCTTCTCCCCTGGATGAGTTTCCATCTGTTGCTTCTCCTCCTGCCTTCCGGGGCGTTGGAGAATAAATTAAGCCCCCCCCCCTTCTTTGGGGCAGCTCCTCAAGTACTTCAATCAGAATAGAGCTGGAAGGGACCTTGGAGGTCTTCTAGTCCAGCCCCCTGCTCAAGCGGAGAACCTATACAATCTCAGACAAGGGCCTCTTCTTTTTTTTAAAAAAAAAAAAAGTTTTTATTTTTATAACAAAAACAAATAAAACCATCTTTCTGTTCAACAATGTGTCGGTTGGATACATATATCTTGTGCACACAGTACCATGTTTCTCATATAATAAGGCCGGGTCTTTTTTTTTTTTGAGGCCCGAAAAAATGGCTAGGTGACTTAATTCCCCCCCCCCCCCCCCCCCGTTGCATCTTCGGGCAGGCGGGCGGCGACGTCTTGGATGTTGACCTCAGCGTTGGTGGGGCACTTCGTATCGGGGTCAACGCAGGCAGCACCATATCCGGGTGTGCAACAAAAGTACT